TCATATATCGGATAAGAAGATACCTACTCACCTTAAGTAGCCAAATTGAAATATAAATTTAATAAATCCAATTAATTTTGAATTATATAAAAATATACTAATTTGGATTTAATTGGGTATTTTTATAATATTTCGAGAGAAAATTATATATAATTAAAAATTCTAGGTTAACAATTCCAGCTTGTTTATAAATCTGGAAAATAATGAAATGATTTAAAGTGAAGTATTAAGAGAAGTTGAAAATCCTAGATTCTCTCCATTAACTTCTTTAGAATTTTTTAAATTGTGATCTTTATTAGTTTAATTCTATTTTAAGTTTATTATTCCCTAGCTTTGAATTGAATATTTTGATATAATTGAATTGTCTTAATTTTAGTACTTAGTAGATAATTTTAGATTAATTTCTTATAAAAACGATAATTTATTCATCATGATATTGATTACTACGATACACACACACACACATACTTGTATGTTAAAAATAGGCAACAGTGAGCTTGTCAAATTCTTACAAGAAGAGGTTGAACGCCCCCTTTTCTTCATTTGGAATTTAAAGCAACATAACAATTTTATTGAATAAAATTCAACCCAATTTGAAAGAAAATGCAATATATAAAATTAAATGGGTAGAGTTTCATCCTGAACGAACATTCCCTAAGAGCATCGAAACCCAAATATTACAATAAGAATGAAACAATCCTCAAACAGAGAAGAAATGAAAAACAGAGGAATATAGCAAGCTACATCTAGATTCCAAGTGTTAAGTATACAAAAGAAAAGGCAAAATAAAAAGAGAAAAGAAGAAGAAGAAGCTTGAACGAGGCTTTCCAGCGGTGGACCTTGCTGCAATCTGGGCAAAAGCAACATATTTTAGCAAGATTGCACCATGATAGGCAGTTATAACTCATATGTCACGTTAACTTATCAATAAATAAATATATAAATAAAGATAAAGATATAATAAATAAAGCAAAAGCGTGGTTGAGGTCCCTTTGCGTGTAGCATATTATGAGAAGAAAATTCTGCTAAGCTTATCAACCAAAAAAGAGTAAAAGGGATAGCAAGAAGTGGCTTTTAACCCCTGAACTATTCAAGACCCTCAATCCCAAACCTTAGATTAGAATCCAATGTACGGAACCAGCGTCTCGGTAAAATCTATGCGTCTTTTTTCGTGCTATAAAATTTGCCATTTCCCTCCACACATCTATAATTCTCCATAATCCTACACCCTACACAAAGCATATCACCTTCGCGGGGTGTTTCTTGCCATCTAGTTATCATCAGGGAGAAGGAAGAAACAACATAGCCCAAATGGGTTCTTCCAGTCAAGAAGAAGAACGTGCCACAAAGATGCTGTTCAAGAGCGCCATGAAAAATGACTGGAGTCAAGTCGTGAAGATTTATGAGGAATGCCCAGCCATTAGAAAATCCAAGATCACTCGAGCAGGAGACACGGCACTGCACCTAGCCATGCTAGACGGTCAGGAAGAGGTTGTGGAAGAGCTAGTTCAGCTAATTGAAGAAAAAGAAGCTCTAGAATTGCAGAATGAACAGGGGAATACTCCTCTCCATCTAGCAGCTCAGTTTGGAAGTGTGAAAATGTGCAGATGCATCACAACTCGAAATCATGAATTGATCGGTGTCCGCAACAACGAAAAGAGACCCCTTTCTTTGTCGCTGCTCTCAATGGCAATAATGACGCTTTTCTTTTCCTCCACAATTTGTGCCAAAGGAACAAGATTGACGGCTATAACTACTGCCGGCGGAACAATGGTGACAGCATTCTTCATTGTGCCATCAACGGAGAGTACTTTGGTGAGGAACTGCCTCTTCCATTCGATAATATCCAACTTTTTATTATGAGTTCTTTCATTATTTATCAAAATTTTTAGAAACAAAACATCCCTTATAACTGAATCAGACCCTGCTTGATGGTTGCAACTTCTTTTTTGAACTTGGCATACAATTTTTTAAAAAATTATTGTGAATTAATTACTGAAATTTTAATAAATTTGTGAATTTTATTTTAGAAGAATGACTAATAAAAGTCTTATGCAAGCTCTATTTTTCCCCTTTGTTTAGAAAGAAATAAAACCTATACATTACCCAACAAATAATCGATTCTTTCTGGACGGATTTTGCCTTCCAAATAATTCTCCGCTACAAAGATCTCGTTAAGTACGTCAACGAAGATGGGTATAGCCCTCTCCACGTTTGGCCAGCAAGCCTTCTCTTTTCCGCAGCGGAACAAATCTTGGTTGGCTCGGCAAAATTATCTACGCTGGTAAGTTGATACCCCATTCAAACTAAACACTCCATTAAATTAAGCATAGCTATCATAACTGAACCAAATGCCGAATGCTTAAGAAACAGTTCAACGATTTATTGGTTTAACCAGTTTTATAATTAAAAAACTTTCAACAAGACTTTTTTTTATTCAAGTACATTTTTTGTAAATTATCGGCGTCCCATTCAATTCAATTTAATTTTAATAATTTTAACTTTAAGAACTATTATCTTATTTATTGAACGTGAAATTCTACACTTACTAATTGCGTCTTGAATACTTGAAATTTATTATTAAGGTATCTTTGTTGATGAGCTGAAAATGCAAGAAAAGATAGACCAAAAGCCTCCCCCTCAGTTCCGCAGAAGAAGGTCTGAAGAGGGAGATGAAGCCAATTATTCCGAGAACAGCAGAACGTGTGTGAACTTGTTTCGGCTGTTTTGGCACGTATTTAGGGCGCTTTGTGAGTATATATGACTGTTGTTTTTTTTTTTCCTTAATATATAAATGTCATTATATAATTTTTCATATTTTATTTTTCAGACCTCGGGAAGAGATACTCTGAAACAGACACAAAGTGCTACAGCGAAAGGGTGCGAGGTTAAATTCTCAAACTTTTAGTACAACTCGAAGGTTGCATTTGCCATGGCTTTTTTCTTTTTAAATATCAATATTAGTTTAGAATTGAATGGCGTTTACAAATAAAATCCGCCTAAATTACATTAATGGTCACTGAATTTTTCGCTTGATTTCCATTTAGTCCCCAATCTTTAATTTGGAACAGTTGGGTTACCGAACTTGGTCAGTCAGTCAAATTCTTTTAAACTAGGATAGCAGATGTTAAATTCTTATAACTTTAATTATTTAAATATTTTATTAAAAAAATTATTGCATACTTTCATTGTCGAACATCAAAAAGATCATTGTACACTTGTAAGGTCCAGCAAAGGAACGTAACCGAGTCTGTAACTGTAAATCCGGATAACCCAAAAATATGCGTACCCAGAAACCAACAAAGAATCAAGAACTTCGCCCCCCACAAGAAACCTGTAACTAAACATTCACCAGAAGGCCTGACCTGAAGCCCGAAATGAGCTCGACAGACCGCCAACACCGAGAACCAGAACAGGTAAAGGCTTAGACAAACCACAAGCAACCAGTTAAGAGACCCTACCCCATATTTGCCTTTATAAGAAAATGCTAAATAAGAAAATTGATATTACACAATAATGAAATATAATAAATCAGATAAATATCAAAAAATACATATAAATGACATTCAGTACGAAAATTTTAGTTATTATTTGGTATACCATTAATTATTCTATGCCAAATTACCTTGCAGCTGAGGAGCATCAAATGGTTCCCCCAACTTGCAACGTTTTCTTTGACACTATCAAACTTGTGCTCAAGGCACTAATAATCACGACTGGGTTTGGTATGCTACAGTTGGAAATACCCTTTGTATACTTCTCCGTGTGGATTTGACCATCAACTTATCCATCTCAATTTTCTTTTTCTTTTTTTTTTTATAATAAAGGATATACATATATAAGAGAAATACAGGCACAAAAAGAAAAGCACACTTGGTCTATGCAGATCATGAACAACCTTATTGATTTCTCCCTGGCTTATGAGTACGGGGATACCGGGCTGGAACCCAAGGGAGAAGGTGACTCAAGCATCTTGTTTTTGTGCCTTTTCGACCAAGATACTCCACAAGCTGGTAATTTCAAATTATGAGTAATTTTATCTGCTCTATATAATATCACATCAAATGATGAATAATATTTATAATGGCAGGCAGACAGAAGAAAAGCATGAAAGAGACAGCACTGCTAATAGCAGCAAAGAATGGAATAACAGAGATGGTGGAAAACATCCTCAATTTTTGCCCGGTGGCCATTCACGACATGAATGCAGAAAAGAAGAATGCAGTGTTGTTGGCAGCGGAGAATAGGCAACCCCGCGTATACCAACTGCTGTACGATAGAGATATCCTTACGGATAGCGTTTTCCGCAAAGTCGACCAGGATGGAAATAGCGCATTGCACCTTGCTGCAAAGCTTCAAGAGAATCCTCCATGGCTTGTCCCTGGAGCTGCACTGCAAATGAAATGGGAAATTGAGTGGTATGAGGTATGTGTGTATGATTTAATTTAATTTATTATTGTGAAAAATCCTTTAAGACATGTTCATTTTATTCTAGAAGTAACACAAGTTGAAATTCTAAACTGCTAATGATTTTTGAAAATTGTTTTTCGAAAAATTTTTGAGAAGTTTTAAGAAAAAAACAGACTTTTTGAGAGGACCCTATTTTAAGGAAATAACATTTTTGTTTATTTCTAGTATTAATTAAACCATCTGCATCAAGGCGGAGCGGCTTGTTTGAAATTATTCTTTACGCTTTGTTTTTGGTTGTTTTCCTTCTTGTTTGGTGTTGTTTTTAAGATCATTTTTTTATAAATTAAAAATTGAAAATTAATATTGAAAGACACATTTGGTAACTTAATCTTAAAAATGTTTCCAAAACAAATTTTGTAAAAGTCTCATTTTCCAAGAATAATTAAAAAGTTACTTCTTATATCTTCAAGAACTAAAAATGATTTTAAATAACGGAAAAATGTTTTCATATGTTTTGGTATTTCTTCTTTTTGATGTATCCATAAACTTAGAAAACAAACACCAAAAAACCAAGAAGCATAAACAATTACATGCGGGATGTATGCTAGCTTCATTTGTATTTTAGCTTCTACCTGTTCCAATCTTTACAGAAAGAAACAAGGGATGAGCTTTTCAAATTGATGAAAATACAAACACAAAAAAAAGTACCAAAAATAGAAATCACATATTAGTAATAGATCCAGACTGGAATTTTGGTAAATTATTATGTAGTTTGTGAAGAACTCCATGCCACTCGACTTCTTCGCACACCACAACAATAATAGCCAGATCGCCAGTAGCATATTCTCAGAAACCCACAAGGATCTTGTCAACAGCGGCAACGAATGGATCTCCAGCACCTCCGAGTGCTGCTCTGTGGTGGCGGCACTGATCGCCGCTGTGGCCTATGCCACCGCCAGCACTGTCCCTGGCGGTAACAATCAGGTACCATAGGCGTGTAACAAGAGTCTCTGAGTGAAGTATCAATCTAAATTACAAATTAGTTATTTAGCAATTTCAATTTCCCTAGTTTTCATCATACTTAAATTTTTTATTCTCAAAATTTAGCATGTGTAATTCCATAATGTTTTTAAAAATATACTAATTAAAGAATTGTAGTTAACGTCATTAATTTTTTGAACAAAAAATTTTTACTCTACATGTAAAAACTTCAATTTCTTTTTAAAATAAATTAAACAAATTATTTTAAGTTACTTTGATCTCCTTGTGCGTCTAAAAAGTATGATTTTTGTATATGTAGAAAATATTATATTTATATAAAAAATTAAGGACATAATATCATTTTTACTTAAAATATTTTTAAACATACCCAAAATATTATAATTGGAATTTTAAGATCATGATAGAGTTAGAAAAACAGCACCTTACATTATTATTTCCACTAAAATATTGCCTGCGAACTAGTAGGCTAATAGAGCTTTTCCTTAATATTCCTTTTAAAAAATTGAAAATATATATGTAGCGAGCATTCATTTAAAATTATATGTAGCAAATTATAATAAATTTCACTAAAGAATTAATGTTGCTCTAATATCGCAAAATTATATATAAATCCACCAAAAAATAGCTAATAATTACAAATATCTAAGATACATTTCTTTTACCTACAGTTATTAATGAATGAGTGTGGTAAAATAAATGAAACTATTATTAATTAACTTAAGGAAGACTTATTATGTCATTGACTTTCTTTGTGGAACTGTACTTAGTTTTTATTCTATAGTATTGATTGATATCACCTTGACAAAGTGGCATGACTTAAATAATTTGGAGTTGAACAGGACTCGGGCACCTCGACCTTGGAGAAGTACAGGGCCTTTGACATCTTTGCCATCTCCTCCCTCCTTGCCCTCTGTTTCCCCGTTACTGCCCTCCTGATGTTCCTCGGCATCCTCATCTCCCGCTATCAGGAGAAAGACTTTAGGAACCTGCCGAAAAAGATCCTCGTGGCTTTGACTTCGCTCGTCATCTCTGTTGTTTCCATGCTTGTGTCCTTCTGCGCCGGTCACTTCTTCGTCCTCAAAGACCAGTTGAAGGGTGCTGCCTTCCCGGTTTACGTGGTGACGAGCTTGCCTGCTCTCTACGCCATAGTTCAGTTTCCACTGTACATTGATACGATATGGGTTACGCTCACCAAGGTTCCCCAACGAAGCTTCAAGGGTACGTCCCGCTAGCTTCGCTTCTCCTTCGAGTCAAATATTTTCCTTTGGAGGGTTGCCGGAATCTTTTTTTTTTTTTTTTGACTAAATATATAAGTTTTTTTGAGCTTTTTTATTTATTTATTTTCCTGTGGGATGTTGGTGGCTCACCACTTTTGAAACAGCTTATGGGTAATCAAGGAGTTGTTTGCAACTCTGTGTTCATTTGACCAATGTGATTAAAAAAATTATCTGTTTTGATCCAGTTGAACTGCGTTTTCGGTGTTCACGCAAAACTATCACATCATCTTCCAATTTTTTTTTTTTTGCCCCTCAATTTATATTTGTTTAATTCATAATAGAAGTTGAGGGATTACTTTGAATAGGGAAATAATAAAGGGACCAAATTGAACATATCAATAGAGTTAGATGCCATCCCTATAATTAATTTTGTACCGAACTGGATCACTTCTGGGTGTGGAATTAAATACTCGACCTCGTTCTGCTAACTAGAAGTGCCATTAAGATCAATTTGTATTGATCATAAAAGTCACTTATAATTTATTTCTTAAACATGAATTCTAAGCACGTTAATTAGACAAGGATACCTGTAACTTATTATTAAGGCGCTGTTGTTGATGAGCTGAATAGCAAACAAACCTTACCAGATAAGAAATCATGGAAAGGAAGACAACGCCACTTAACCTGGAAACTGCCAAACGCAGTTTTTCTTTTTCTTTTTTAAGTTCTCACAGTTATATTTATTTATTTTACAAATTGTGATTAATCTTACTTGGATACAACAATTGTTCCTGCTCAAATGTGTACTTTCATAAATTTAAATTTAATTTTCCTTTATGTATTTCCTTTAGTTTTAAATCCATGAAAGTACACATTTATAGAAAGACATCTATGGTACTCAAAATAAAATTAATTCCAAATTGTAAAATAGATAAAAAAAAATCTCTTAATATAAAAATGCCATTATATAAATCTTTATATTACATTTTTCAGCCCTTGGGAAGAGCATTTTGGACGAGGCCTAGAGAGCCATAGATAAGGTAAGTAAGATTCAATTCTCAAACTTTTAAAATGAACATTTTGGTACAACTGGATTACTTGACTTTTTAAAACAATGGTTAATCTGTTAAATATCTTCAAAAAAAAATTAAAAGTGGCACTTCATTTGGATAACGAAATATTTTCATAATAAATATTAAAAAATTACAAACAATTTCAAAAACAACTCAAATTCAAATATGCAATCCTCAAGTAGTTTCACTTATCTTCAACAATTTTATTGCAAAAATCGTATATAGGTGCTAGAAACAATTAGCTTTGGACCATTTTAATTAGAAACAATTAGGCAAATTTTCCAAGGATATCAACTAATAAAAATTAAAAAGAAATAAAAAAAGTTTGTAATAATATTATTTTATTTATGACAAGATTCGTGAATTTTAATTGCAAAATTTCTTTCTATATTTTTACAAAATAATAAAATTACAAAATTACAAAAGTGAGGTTCTAGTGTACAGGGGCTAGCATAGATCTTTCATGGTGTTTTTGGGGTAGGTGGGGCCGTTATATTCCTTCTTCCTTGGAAAGGCTTTGCTTGTATCTTCATCTTCGGATCTTTATTCTTGCAATAAAATGCTTCTTGCTTTCAAAAAAAATATATAATTATGCCTATATATAGGATTGAATAGCTTGTATTTGATTTAATTATATAATTGATTAAATTGATTCTTATACAGGATAGGAATATATCTGCTCACCTGAGATAGCCAAATAGAATCTAAATTTAATAACTGTAGTTAATTTTGAATTATATAGAAATATAGTAGTTTGAATTTAATTGGGTAATTTTATAATAATTTTAGAAAAAATTATAAATAATTTAAAAATCCTAGGTTAACAATTCTAACTTGTTTATAAATCTAGAAATTAATGAAAGGATTTAAAATAAAGTGTTAAGAAAAGTTGAAAACCGCAGGTTCTCTCCATTGACTTCTTCAGAATTTTTTAAATTGTCATCTTTATTAGTTTAATTCTATTTTTAGTTTATTATTCCTTAGCTTTGAATTGAATATTTTGATAAAATTAAATTGTCTTAATTTTAGTACTTAGTGAATAATTTTAAGTTAATTTCTCATGAAAATGATAATTTAGCTAGCACAATATTGATTACTACGATGTGTATACTTGCATGTTAAAAATAGGCAACAGTGAGCTTGTCAAATTCTTACAAGAAGAGGCTGAACGCCCCCTTTTCTTCATTTGGAATCAGTGTACTTCTTCTTAAAGCAACACAACAATTTTATTGAATAAATTCAACCCAATTTGAAAGAATATGCAAAATATAAAATTAAATGGGTAGAGTTTCATCCTGAACGAACATTCCCTGAGAGCATCGAAACCCAAATATTACAATAAGAATGAAGCAATCCTCAAACAGAGAAGAACTGAAAAACAGAGGAATATAGCAAGCTACATCTAGATTCCAAGTGTTAAGTATACAAAAGAAAAGGCAAGATAAGAAGAGAAAAAGAAGAAGAAGAAGAAGCTTGAACGAGGCTTTCCAGCAGTGGACATTGCTGCAATCTGGGCACAAGCAACATATTTCAACAAGATTGCACCATGACTGGCAGTTATTACGAATATATCATGTTAACTTATCAATAAATAAATATATAAATAAAGATAAAGATATAATAAATAAAGCAAAAGCGTAGTTGAGGTCACTTTGCGTGTAGCATATTATGAGAAGAAAATTCTGCTAAGCCTACCAACCAAAAAAGAGTAAAAGGGATAGCAAGAAGTGGGTTTTAACCCCTGAACTATTCGAGACCCTCAATTCCAAACCTTAGGCTAGAATCCTATGTACGGAACCAGCGTCTCGATAAAATTTATGCGTCATTTTTCGTGCTATAAAAGTTTGCCATCTCCGACCAAACATCTATAATTCTCTATAATCCTACAACCTACAATCCTACACCCTATACACAAAACATATCACCTTCGCGGGGTGTTTCTTGCCATCTAGTTATCATCAGAGAGAGAGAAGAAACAACGTTTCCCAAATGGGTTCCTCCAATCAAGAAGAACTTGGCACAAAGATGCTGTTCAAGAGTGCCATGAAAAATGACTGGAGTCAAGTCGTGGAGATTTATACGAAATACCCAGCCATTACAAAATCCAAGATCACTCGAGCAGGAGATACTGCGCTGCACCTAGCCGTGCTAGACGGCCAGGAAGAGGTTGTGGAAAATTTAGTTCAGCTAATTGCCGAAAAAGATGCTCTGGAAGTACAGAATGAACAGGGGAATACTCCTCTCCATCTAGCAGCTGAATTTGGAAGTGTGAAAATGTGCAGATGCATCACAACTCGAAACCATGAATTGATCCGTGTCCGCAACAACGAAAAGGAGACCCCTTTCTTTGTCGCTGTTCTCAACGGCAACAAAGACGCTTTTCTTTTCCTCCACAAGTTGTGCGCAAGCAGGGAGATTGATGGCTATGACTACTGCCGGAGGAGCAACGGCGATAACATTCTTCATTGCGCCATCAATGGAGAGTATTTTGGTGAGAAACTGCTTCTTTCATTCGATATTATCCTACTTTTTTATTTTGAGTTCTTTCATAATCTAACAAAATTTGTGGAAACAAAACATCCCTTATAACTGAATCAGACCCTGTTTGATCGCTCTAACCTTTTTAAACTTGGCACAAAATTTTTAAAAAAAAATTATTGAGACTTAATTTTTGAAATTTTAATAAATCTGGGACTCTTGTATTAGAGGAATGACTGATAAAAGTCTTGCACAAGCTCTATTTTTTATGAAAAAAAAAATAATAAAACCTATTAAATGCTCAACAAATTGTCAATTCTTTCTGGACAGATTTGGCCTTCCAGATAATTCTTCGCTACGATAAGCTCGTTAACTATGTCAACGAAGATGGGTTTAGCCCTCTCCATGCTCTGGCCAGCAAGCCTTCTGTTTTCAGCAGCGGAAAACATCTTGGATGGTTCGGCAAAATCATCTACTCCTGTAAGTTGATATCCAATTCAAACCAAACACTCCCTTAAACTAAGCACAGCTATTATAATTGAACCAAATACTGGATCGGTTTAAGAAACAGTTCAAGGGTTTATTGGTTTAACCAGTTTTATAATTAAAAAACTTGCTATAAGGTTTTTTATTATCAATTGCGTCTTGAATAATTGAAATTTATTATTAAGGTACCTTTGTCAGTGAGCTGAAGAAGCAAGAAAAGATTGACGAAAAGCCTCCCCGTCAGTTCCACTTAAGAAGGTCTGCAGAGGAAAACAGAGCCAATTACCCGCCGAACAGCGAAGCATGTGTCAACTTCTTTTGGCTGTTTCGGCACCTGTTTAGAGCCTTTTGTGAGTATACAAGGCTATTGTTTTTTTCTTTTTTTTCCTTAATATAAAAATGCCATTATATAAATCTTCTTATTTTATTTTTCAGTCCGACAGGAGGAAAATTCTGAACGAGACACAGAGAGCCATAGACAGAGTCAGCAAGCTTAAATTCTCAAACTTTTATTACAATTCCAAGTTTGCACTTGCAACGTTTTCCCTTTTTTTTTCCCGTTATAAATATATTAGTTTAGAATTGTATGGAGTTTACAACTAAAAAACCGCCTAAATTACATTAATGGTCACTGAATTTTTCTCTTGATTTCCATTTATTCCCCAGTCTTTAATTTGGAACAGTTGGGTTACTGAACTTGGTCATTCTGTTTATTTCTTTTAAAATAGGATAACAGACGTCAAAAGCGGCACTCCAATTAGATAATAAAATATTTAAATAAGTTTCAAAAAAGTTCAGAAATATTTTAGATTTAACTTTACAAGGAAATGCTAAATAATAATTATAAAAAATGTAATTGCATCATAATGAACTAATAAATAAGATGTAATTATTGATAAAAACATGTAAAAAAAAAAACTCAGTATTAAAATTTTATTTATTTGTTATACCATTAATTATTATATGCCAAATTACCTTGCAGCTGAGGAGCAACAAATGTTTCCCACAACTTACAACGTTTGCTTTGACACCATCAAATTTGTGCTCAAGGCACTAGTAATCATGCTTGGGTTTGGTATGCTACTGCTACAAATGCCCTTTGCATTCATCTTCTTCATGTTGCTTCAACTATCTACTTTTGCATCTCAATTTTCTTTCTTTTTTTTTCCTTTTCCTATAAAGGAGCTAGATATATAAGAAAAATACAGGAGAAAAAGAAAAAGCACACTTGGTCTATGCAGATCATGAAAGAACTTCTTCATCAGTCCGAGGCTTATGAGTACGATGCTAACGGGCAGGAACCTCGTGATCACGGACCAAGCCGGCCTTGGAGCACTTCCGACGCACAAAGCTTGCTTGGGAAGCTTTCCGACGAAGCTGGTAATTTCAAGTTAGAGATTAATTTCCTCTGCTCTATGTAGTATCATATATTAAATGACGAATAACATTTAAAATGGCAGACAAAAACCGAACACAGGAAGAGAAAAACAAGGGAACAACGAGTGAGAAAGACAAAACGGGCGAGAAAAAGAAGAAGAAAGACCCGAAAGAGACACCAATACTATTAGCGGCAAAGAATGGAATAACGGAGATGGTGGAAAACATCCTAAATCATTTTCCGGTGGCCATTTATGACATGAACTCGGAAAAGAAGAACGCAGTGTTGTTGGCAGTGGAGTATAGGCAACCTCATGTGTACCAAAAGCTGGACGAAAGAGATATACTCAAGGATAGCATATTTCGCAAGGTCGACGAGGATGGAAATAGCGCATTGCACCTTGCTGCAAAGCTTGGGGATGATCCTCCATGGCATATCCCTGGAGCTGCACTGCAAATGCAATGGGAAATTAAGTGGTACGAGGTATGTATATATGATATAATATGATTTGTTAGTGCAAAAATTTTAGGACATGTTCATTTTGTTCTTCGAAATAACTAAAGAAAACAAATAACGTTGCTGAAATTCTAATTTGCTACCGATTTTTGAAAATTGTATTCTAAAATGTTTTTGAGAGGCTTTAAGTGAAAAATAGACTTTTCGAGAGGACCTATTTTTTTTGACCAAAAAATTCTGGGGTAAATTAAGTAGGAGTGGTTTGCTGGAAATTAAACCCTATTCTTTTTTTTTGGTTGTTCTCCTTCTTGTTTGGTGTTGTTTTTAAGAACATTTTTTTTTTTACAAATTAAAAGCTGAAAATCAATATAGAAAGACACATTGGGCAACTTATTCTCAAAAATTGTTTCCAAAACAATTTGTAGAAGTCTCATTATCCAAGAATCATTAAAAGTGATTGATCAATATCCTCAAAAGCTAATTAACAATGATCTTCAGATAACGGAAAAATATTTTCATAATTTTTGGTATTTTCTCTCTCTGGTGTATTGGAAAACATAGAAAGCAAAAACCAAAAAGTTTTAACAATTACAAGCAGAATATATATTGCTTTCATTTTTTTTTTTTTCAACTTCTAAATGTTTCAGTCTTCGAAAGAAAGAAATAAGGGACAAAGTTTTCAAATTTTTGAAAACAAGAAAAAAAAAAGTACCAAAAACAGAAAATACATATCAGTAATAAATCCAGACTTGAATTTTGGTAAATTATAATGCAGTTCGTGAAGGACTCCATGCCACCCCACTTCTTCCCACGCTACAACAATGACAGCCAGACGGCCAAGGACGTGTTCTCAAAAACTCACAAGGAGCTTATCGTGAAAGGTGGCGATTGGCTCACCAAAACCTCCGAGTCATGCTCTGTGGTGGCGGCATTGATAGCCGCAGTCGCTTTTGCCACCGCCAGCACTGTCCCTGGCGGCGTCAAGCAGGTAATAAAGATGTATAATAATAGTGTGAGGAATAAATATAATCTGGAAAAGGAAAAAAGTTGTTGGATAAATTACTTTCAATTCAGCAGCATGCATCCTACTTAAATTTTTTATTGTCACAATTTAAATTACAACATATTTAATTCCATAATTTAAAAAATATGCTAATTAAAGAATTGTTGTTAATGTCATTAATTTTTTTAAAGAAAATAATCTCACTCTAGATGTAAAAACCCAATTTCTTTTTAAGATAAATACAAAACTTTGTTCGAAAAACACTTTGATCTCCTCTTCTGTCTAAAAAAGTATGATTGTACATAAATATAATCTTTATTTAAAATTTTAAAAATAATAATTTTTTAATCTAAAATACTTTTAAAAATTCCAACAATAAAAATGTTATAATTGAAATTATGAAACCATAATAGAGTTACAACAGCATCATCCTTACATTATTATTTGCACTAAAATATTGCTTGAAAATTCTAGGCTACTAGAGGTTTTGTTTAATACTTTTTAAAAAATGAAAAAAAAATATGTAGCTAGTATTCATTTAAAATAATACAACGTAATAACAAATTATAATAAATTTACTAAAGAATTAATGTTACTCTAATTTTCACAAAATTATTTCTAAAATTTACCAAAAAATAGCTAATAATTACAAATATCTAAAATGCCTTTCTTATACAGTAACTAACGAATGAGTGTGGCATGATAATAACTGAAGACACTATTAACTTTCTTTGTGAAACATTACTTGGTTTTTATTCATAACATTGATTGATATCAACTTCAAAAAATGGGATGACTTAAATAAGTTCGAATAATACAGGAGTCGGGCACCCCGATCTTGGAGAACTACACCGCTTTTGACATCTTTGCCATCTCCTCCGTCGTTGCCCTCTGTTTCTCCGTTAGCGCCCTCGTGATGTTCCTCGCCATCCTCACCTCCCGCTACCAAAAGAAAGACTTCAAGAGGAGCCTGCCGTGGAAGCTCCTATTGGGTTTGACTTCGCTCTTCGTCTCCATTGGTTCCATGCTCGTCTCCTTCTGCGCAGGTCACTTCTTCGTCCTCAAAGACAAGTTGAAGTATGCTACCTTCCCGATTTACGCGGTGACGTGCTTGCCCGTGACGTTCTTTGCCATAGCTCAGTTTCCACTGTACATTGATCTGATATTCTCTACGTTCACCAAGATTCCCCGGCGGAGCTTCAAGGTTTTAACCCCTAGCTTGGGTTCTCCTTCGAGTCAAATGTCTTCCTTTGGTGGGTTTTAATGGAAATTTGTGTTTGTGTGCGTTTTGTCGAAATGAGTAATAAAGAAAGTCTTGGATTTGGAATGTTTTTATTTGTTTATTTTTTTTGTTTTTCTCCCGGATGTTGGTGGCTCGCCACTCTTGAAACAGCTTATGCTTAATAGAAGAGTTGTTTGGTTTGAAGGTGATGAAAAAATTGCTTCTAGAATATTAAATTGCTTTTCTTTTTAATATTGTACTGCTGGACAAAAGAGATATCCTCAAGGATAGCATATTTCGCAAGGTCGACCAGGATGGAAATAGCGCATTGCACCTTGCTGCAAAGATTTGCAGGGCATTCTCCATGGCTTCTCCCTGGAGATGGTCTGTAGATGCAATGGGAAATTCTGTGCTATGAGGCATATGTGTTTATGATATAATTTAATTTATTTATTGTTCAAAACTTTTGAGACATGTTCATTTTGTTCTTATCAATAACTGGAGAAAATAAATAATGATGCCGAAATTCTAAATTGCTAATGATTTTGAAAATTGTTTCCGAAAATTTTTGAGAGGCTTTAAGTAGAAGACAGACTTTTTGAGAGGACCCCATTTTAAGGATTTTTTTTTTTAATTTCCGTAATTAATTAAGCCGTCTACATATACATACATCAAGGAGGAGCGCGTTGTTTGGAATAATTATTTATTCTATTTTTTGTTATTTTCCTTCTTGTTCGGTGTTGTTTTAAAAAACATCCTTTCTTATAAATTAAAACTTGAAAATCAATATATAAAGACACATTGGGCAACTTTTTTAAAAAATTGTTTTCAAAACAATTTTTGTAAAAGTCGCTAAAAACGTAAAAAATACAACTATCGAAAACAGAAAATACATATTACTGATAGATCCAGACTTGAATTTTGTAAATTATATAACGCAGTTTGTACGAAACTCCATGCCACTCCACTTCTTCTCAGACTCCAATCATATGGGCCAGACCGGCGAGGAAGTGTTTTTACATACCCACAAGAATCTCGTCAAGAGAGACAGCGATTGGCTCGCCAACACCTCCCATTCATGCTCTGTGGTGGCGGCAATTATCACCATTGTGGCTCTTAACACTGCTAGCACTGTTCAGGCGGGTAACAAAGACGCGTAATATAATAGTGTGAGGCATAAATATAATTTAGAAGAAAGGTTGTTGTATAAATTACTTTCAATTCCACAATTTTTTATTCTCAAAGTTTAAATTATAACATATTTAATTCCATGATTTAGGAAATATGCAAATTTACTTTTAAAAATCCCAACAACAAATATGCTATAATTGAGTGGTAAAGACCATAATGGAGTTACAACAGCATTAACCTTACATTATTATTTGCACTGAAATATTGCTTGAAATATATGCTAGGCTAATATATTTCTAAAAATTGAAATTATACATGTAGCTATTATTCAATTTAAAATAATATAATATAACAACAAATTATAATAAATTTCACTAAAAAATTAATGTTACTCTAATTTCATAAAACTATTTATAGATTCACCAAAAAATAGCTAATAATTACAAATATCTAAATACATTTCTTTTACTTATACGTATTAATGAATGACTGTGATATAATAATAAATGAAAACACTATTAACCCAAGGAAGACTTACTGTGTTATTTACTTTCTTTTTGAAACATTACTTAATTTTTGTTCTATAGTATTGATTGATATATTACTTTCACAAATAATTAAAACAGGACTCTGACATCTCGACCTTGGCAAAGTACACCATCTTTGACATCTTTGCCATCTCCTCCCTCCCTGCCCTATTTTTCTCTGTTGCTGCCCTCGGGATGTTCTTTCTCATCTTCACCTCCCACTATCAGGAGTATGAATTCTGGAGGACCCTACCGAGGAAGCTTATAGTGGGATTAGGTTCGCTCGTCATCTCCGCTGTTTCCCTAGTCGTGTCCTTCTACACGGGTCACTTCTTCATCCTCAAAGACAAGTTGAAGGATGCCGCGTTCCCAGTCTACGCGGTGATGTGCTTGCCAGTGATGTTCTTTGCTATAGCTCGGTTTCCACTCTTCATTAATCTAATATTAGCTACGTACACCAAGGTTCTCCTTCGAGTCAAATGTTTTCCTTTGGTGGGTTTTGGCAGAAGTGTTTGTTCGCCGAAATAAATAATAAAATAATAGACTAAGTTTTTGAATACGAGTGTTTTTATTTATTTATTTTTCTCTTTGATATTGGTGGCTCGCCACTCTTGAAATAGCTTATGCTTAATCAAAGAGTTGTTTGGTTTAAAAGAGAGGAAAAAAATGTTATTAGAATGTTATAGTTTTTTTTTTTTTAATAAGCGCCGTCAAAATATGTTGTAAAATGTTAGTTATACATATAAACGGGGGCGCATGTGTTGGAATGTGCAAGTTTATGAAACCTAATCATTCTAGGGTTGATTTTCTGAAAGTAGACCTCTATTTCAGTCATGGATGGTGCCGAATGATGGGACCAGTATCTCAACTACCGCTTATTCCTTCTATTGAAGGCGTGACGTGAGTAACATAGTAAAGAAGTTATAATTAAGTCAGGAAGTCAGGAGTTGATTGAGTTTGTGATTAACCAAACTTAGAAACCCACCCGGAAAGCCCAATCTCTTCGAGAACAAAAATGATCATGTTTCCAAATCTCGTGGAAATCAGGACATCAAGGTAGCTAATTCCAAACAAAGAATTAAACTCTTCCGTGAAACAATAGCAATAAAACTAAATAAATAATGATGAGAAACATATATTAGAAAATGAAGGACCCTTGTAATATCTTATCTTCCATTTTACCAAATCAAAACAGCACTGATTTGACTTTAGATTTGTCAAAAAATAGGCTTGTGAGGAATGAAAATGACCCAAATCCACGATGAACAGCAGGTCAAGATTTGAGTTAGACACTTGCCAAATGGGTTCCTTAAATGTTTTAAGAAACAAAAATGTTCAGAACCAGCTAATAACACAAGAGCTCCGTGGCAGAGTTAAACCAATTCTCTCTATGTCCCTATCTGAAGTTCTGTTTGCAGAAATGGACCCAAATTGGTTTTAATCTTTGGAAGTGACTTGCTTCACATGGGAAGCCGTTAGTTCTTTTGGTTTTTCCTGCCTTGTTAAATTACCAAACACTGAAATAAAAAGAACATCCAAGCAAGTAAATTGCAGCAGTGGGTTATGCATCAAGTGAACATGAACGGCTGGTTTATGAGGGATGGATCTTAGATGATACGGGCCATTGTGAAGAAGGTCTACGGAAAGCAGAGGAATCAATTATTATTAAGAGATCATTTGAGGCATTCTTCCTGAAAACCTATGCACTTGCAGACTCTAGCCAAGATCCATCTTGTTCCTCTACCGTTTTATCACTCCTTGAAGAGGCCTTGAAATGCAATATACCCTTTGATTACGAACTAACAAGATACTGAGAACTAGAGTTAATCCTTGATGGGATAGATTGATATTGTGCCACTCTGTTTCCTGCTCGTGTGTGCCTAATCTGATGATATAATATATATTTGATTCCAGCTCCAAGTTGCCGATAACAACATCTGATGAATTGCTATATTAATAAGTTGGCGAACACTTGAGAGGGTACTGGTACAATCCGGACCTCCCCCTTGCATTTGCTTCAAAAATGGCAAATTTTTTTTACCATTTTCGATGCAAATACAGGGGAGGGGGAGAGATTGCAGGAGAGAGAAGGGATGTACGGGTACACTCTTGGAGTCAAGTTCTAATAAGTTTCATTCATATATTTGATTCCATCTCTATGTTTCTTAAGTTCAAAGTTCAATTTTCGGTGGGTGGTGTGTGACTATTTTTTGTTGTCGCTTCCTTCAGATTTTCCTCCAGCTTGTTTTGGTGTTCTCAGCCTTATAGCTGGTGGGCCCTTCAAGCCATGTGGTACGTATATGTTGTATAGTGCTTGGGTTAGTTAAGGCTTCATATCAATCGTAGAGACTTTTTGGGCCGCCTTTTCTTTGGGTGCTCAGGTAAATCCTAGGTGCTTGTTCATTTTCTTCTGGTAGCTTCTTGGTGGCTGGTTTTGTTTTAGGCTGTACAGTTAGTAAGCTTTGGGCCAAAGCCAGGTCCTTCTTGTAATACCCCAGTTTGGGGGTAATTGAAAAAAATTTGGAATTTGAGGGTTTAATTGAATGAAATAGAACTTTTTGGGGTCCAAACATAAAGTATTAGAATTGTCAAGGACCAAATCGCATGAAGAATAGAATCCAGGGACCAAATTACAAAATCAAAAAAGTTGATCCTGAACGCCTGTAACGTTCGAATCTTCCGATTAATAACCATTACTCCAAACATTTTTCTATTAAATTTTTATATAATCACGTGCGATGGAAGTAGATCTACAAAAACCCTATATCAATTTTTGAAAATCAAAATTCTAACCTAATCAATTTCGTAGCTTTTGGTCCACCAGTTCATCTCCCATAGCCAAAGCTTTCAAGCTTAATTTTGGCAACATAAGCTGCTTAAAAGCCAAATTCGAGAAGTCATATGAGTTGCCTATCCATTACGAGTGTGGATTTACAAAAATTTTGAAAAAATTTGAGGTAAAATTTTAAATTTTGTTAAAAAGGTGTGTTGCTTTCTGTTCACAAAAACCAAGTCTAAAAGACAAACCCAATTGGGAATTTGGGTTAGCCATAACCCAAATCCCCTAATACTGGACTAGGTTGTAGTTTGGACCAGACAATTGGTCCAAGCCTTAAATGGGTTGATGTGCTAGTTTAGGCCTCTGGTTACGCTTGGATTGAGTTGGTATACAAAGTATGGTTTCAGAAATGGATCCGGATATTGGATCCGAATTAGAAAATAAATAAAGCAATAAATAATAGATAAATTTAAAAAAATAGAAAATCAACCAATTCAAGGGGTTTATAACCGGTTCACTTCCAATTTAGGGCAAAGTAAGATTTATTAATAAATAAACCAACTGGTTAACTGCCGATTCAAGGTTAAAGCGACTGGTTTAGGGCTTAAATTATTGAATTAGGTTTTTACTCACTGGTTCAACACTGGTTTGGCCAGTTCAATGTATATTAAGCCTGGTTCAAGATATTAAATGTTTGGTTCAATGGATTTCAGATTAATTTGTATATAACTAAACTGGGTCAGTGTTTAAAAGTCCTATTAGTGACCAGTTCAAGTGTTTTAATGGTCGGTTCAATAGGTTTAAGGCTGATTTAGTGAGTTTTATGGCTAGTTTAGTGGATTTCATGGCTGGTTCAATAGGTTTATGACTAATGCAATAAATTTTATGACTGGTTCAGTGAGTTTAATGTCCAGTTTAGTGATGTTATGGCTAGCTCATGGTTGGTTCAACTTTTTAGTAACTAATTCAAGACCGATTTTA